TCGCTTTGTAACCGTCATAGTGTGACCTTCAGCAACTCTGTGTGCTCATCAGCAAATACTATGTGTTTATCAGCATAATCGGTGTGACCGTCAGCAAAGCTGGTGTGTGCGTCAGCAAAACCGGTGTGTTCGTCAGCAAAACTGGTGTGGCAAAATATTCTCCTCCCGAGCGCGGCGCCATCTTGGCGTTTCATAAGGCCGGTTAATCCAACCGGGTGATGGCACGCGAAATTGATCGCTCCAAGGATGCTGTACGACGCTTTCTGCGCGACCCCGACTGCTACTGCACAAAGTACAAAGGCATGAAGCCCAACGTTCTGTTGGGCTCTGCTGGTCGCCACTTCCTCCGCGAGGCTTCCAAGCAAGGGACGTCTGCAAGAATCCTCAAGACGTCCCTGGATTTGGTCAACGGCGCCTACAACACAGCGAGACAATGAAATACGAGAAGCGCAAGCACACTCCACGGCTCCAAGCAAGGCACGTCAAGGCCCGACTGAAGTACGCCCAGCCCCACCTCCGGGAGTCCACCAATTGGACTGAAATCATCTAGTCCGACGAGAAGAAGTTCAATCTCGATGGACCGGATGGGTTTCAGTCCTATTGGCATAACTTACGGAAGTAGCCTGACACCTTTTTGACACGCCAAAGGGTGGTGATGGCGTCATGGTGTGGGGCTCGTTTTCGTCGAAAGGGTTGTCGGAGTTAGCCTTCTTGGAAGGCAACAACAAGGCCGACGATTACGTCGAAACGTTGACGATATATTTGCTTCCACTTGGTCATTGCCACTACGGCCCCAGCTTTACGTTTATGCAAGATGGGGCGTCAATCCATCGTGCGAAGACCACCATGGCCTGGTTCGCGGAGAATGGGGTGGACATTTTTGACCACCCATCCTTTTCTCCCGAGCTAAATCCAACTGAAAACTTGTTGGGGGTCCTAGCACGTTCGGTGTATGCGAACGGACGTCAATTCATGACACTTCATGACCTCGTCGAGGCTATCAATCGTGCATGGGCTGGCTTGAGTCAAAGTTATCTCGACAAGTTGATTCGATCGATGCAAGACCGTTGTGTTGACGTTGTAGTAGCTAAATTGATTTGGGTCAATAACAGCGATTTGTGTTGAAAATACAATGATTTTTCAGAGGTGGCTTTAACCACCTGGCGCAGTGATTTTTCATAAAGTTCTCATTTTGACTGTATTTTCGAAGTTGTTGTGCCCATGGAGTTGGAATCCTTTTGCAATTAGCATATCAATTCGTTCATAAACGTCTGTTTATCGAATAAGGACATACGTCAATAGCAATTACAAGAAAACAGGGTGGCTTTATCCACCTGGCGCGCACTGTACATGCCTTAAATATCCTTTCGATTGGTATACAACGCACGATCTAGTGTCTGCATGACCATGTTGTCCGAAACGACAGAATTATGGGGTGGTTTTAACCTCCTGGCGCGCACTGTACTGTGCGTAGTACTGTCGTAGTACTGTCGTAGTCGTAGATGCAAATCCCCTCTCAGGGGTTTCGGGGTTTCGTGTGATGCGTGAAAAAACGTCTTTGGGTGGATTTAGATGAGAAAGGGACTGCTGAGGACTGCAAAGCCGGCCGCCACGCCGCCTTCGTTGGTGGTCGAGAGCTACATCAAATCCACATGACGGCGGGTTCTTCCGTGGACCGATATACCTTTGTGCGGAGCAAATGGCCGGCGTGCTCGTTCAGGATGGCTTTGCCTTGGTCAAACAGCGCGACACTGAACATGCCCAATTCACTGATTGTGTCGCCACTGACAGGCGTTCCATTTCGCACGAGCACCTACTCGATGCGTCAGTGTTCAAGCCACAGTTTCCAAAACCCACCGCTGGTTGCTCTTGGGGCAAAATTCGCTCCATCAAGATGTACGATTCGAGCTCAGCAGGGGTCAGCGTTGCAAACGCGTGCACGACGTCGTCGCTGCCGCCACCACGTTAGCCTTGTCGAACAGTCGGGACACTGGTACCCGTAGAGATTGTTGCCACCGCCTTCTCGCTGTGGCTTTAGCACAAATCCCTGAGGATTGGCAGCGACTAGGGCCTTGATCCTACAAGAGAGCTATAGTCCGATGCAAGCAAGACAACCATACCGGGGAAGGTCTGGCGACGCCTGCTCGAGGCCGTACAATCCTGCAAAAGACTTTTCAACCGTCACACTCTCGTCTTCGCTCAAGAATCGTCGGAGCTGCGACGGCGACGCAAGCACTTGCTGGACCTTCTTCGTCCCAGCCAAGTGGTACGTTATGTTGGGGCACTTGATCGCATGCGACCGTTCAACGACGGTGCGGCCGGTCCACTCTGTCTCACTGCGCCACGTGAGTCAGCGTGAATGAGGGTCTGATGTAGTACCTTGGGTAGTCGGTCGGCGTGTATCCTGCGCGAAAGTATGCGACGGCCACTTCCACCCCATCGATCCACAGTTGGCGCGACACTCCGCGCAGTTCCGACTTCGCCAACTACGACACGTCACCCAGCTCAAAATCATCCTTCGCCTGTAGTGGAGCATCCGCATCGGGCACATCGTCGGCCTCAACTCGTGCATGACTCAGTTCATACAGCATGCAAGCCAACGTACTTGATGGAGGGACCTGCGAAGGACCTTGATCCTGTGCGATTCCCACAGGGTGTACTCGAGCCAGCGCTGGTCGACAGAGTTGGATTCACTTGGCTGCACCACGAACACGATCACAGCCCTACCACGAATTCACTCTGAGCAAACCTCAATGAGATGCCGACGGACGTACGATGGGTTTCCATAGTGCGCGTGCGCGCGAGCGAGCGCGGCTGGAAGCGCATGCAAGGCCGGGTTTTGGGGCAAATGGATGGAAAGGTCTCCCACACAGCCGTAATACCCCGACGGGATCTCGTCTTTGTATCGCTCCAGAAGGAAACTACTCGCATGATGACATGTCAGAACTTTTCATGTGGATTACGTCGATGACAGACCGGTGCAAGTTGGACGCCAAGGAACTCATGCACGCAAAAGATGCAGAAATCGTGTTGAGTTCGACTTGCAGGATCTGTGCGGGAGTTGCATTCGTGGGGTCATCGTGCAGCATGTAGTCGGATCGGTGAATCCCAAGAGTAGCAGTTTGCACAACCCTGAGAACCTCGCGGGTCAAGAGAAGCACCACGGTTACGACACGTACCCCTCCTTCTGAACGGCTTTGGACAGCGCGACAAGTCGACGGGTGAATGCATCTTCTGCCAACACACTGTGGAGTTGCTCGTGCAACCAATCGGGGTCCGATGCGACTCGGTCGACCAGCAACGCAAATAGCGGGGAAAGGGCGATGCCCTACGAGTCCACCGGCGCTTCAGAAAGGGCATACCTTGACTTCATCACATGAATCACGCACGCGCTTACCAGTTCAAATTGCTCGCGAGGAAAGGGCACGGGAAGGAGGCAGTACGGCAGGTGGGCATATCGAAACTCGGGGGCTTGCACCAGCATGCCGTGTCCTGCGGCATACGCCGTCGCCTCCGAGAGAAAGTGCGTCACTTGGGAGGCTGTAAGGCCGAGCTTCTCTGCATGGGCAGTCGTGGGCGCCGGAGGCGGTGACTTGGAGGAAGCGATGGAAGCCAGGAGATCCGCCATTTGACCGCCAATCCCAAAAATGATCGACTCTGTTCGGATGGATTCCGCGTGATTAATATATTTGTTTAGTCTGTCATTTTGCTAGCGGAATATATATTTATACTAATTCCATAGAAAAGCATAGATGTATTAAAAATCCAATTTTCCTCGGAGCTCAAAAAAACATACATGAGATGGAGACATACATAGAGAATACTAGTACTAGTATTTCGTACTTCGAAGTAGGTGTTTTTCAGTGAAACCACAACGACCCCAACGGACGCAATGAGGAAGGTTGCCGCCGCGGCCATCGCCGTCGCCGTGATCGCAACGCTGATTCTATGGAGGCTTTCGACAACAGGAGAGTTGAAACACGTGATACATTGGGCTCAGGTGGGTCGTGGCCTACAACTCATCGCTCCTGTTGCATGGATGACGTGGGGACGTGCCGCCGTAGAACCATCAAGTTGTCGGTGGCATCGCTTACATCGCCGTGTTTGCGATATCTGTGGTGGCTTGGTACGTCAATCCCGCCTGCACTGTCTCAATTCAGCTCCTGTAGCTTACCTGCAAGTGTGTTTGAGCTCGCGGCGGGCTACATGTTTGGGTTTGGGTGGGGATGGGTTGTCGCCGTGTCAGGGAAGACACTTGGTTCTGTTGTGTCCTTTGCACTAGGTACTTCCCGTCACTGCGCAAAGAACTGATGGTGACAGCACCCTCAGGGCGGTACTACCTCCAAGGGTGGGTGCACAAGATGATGCGTCGAGGCCCGCCAATCTTCCGTGCCCTTGTGTGTTGCAATTCACATGGAGAGATTACCAAAGTGGTGCCATTTCGTAGGCTCAGCTGATGACACGCAGCGAACTCAAGTGGAAGGTTGTGATTTTGACGAGAATTGCATGGATGCCGATCGCCATCAAGAACTACGGACTCAGTGTGATTCCCGTACACGCGCTTCGCATGAACTTTTCAACTTTTCATAAGGCTCTATCTTGTAGGTGTCGTTCTCGCTGTTTTTCTGGCCCATGCTCATCGTTGGGGCAGCGTTCTCGGCCATTTCTGTGTACCTTGGGCATACAGCCACCCACGTACGCACATGTCGTTCACCACCACATCATGATGCAACATGACAGGTCACATCTATCTTGACTGGTGGCGGCGAAGAAGAAGGCGGTGGGGGAGAGCCCAAGTCGCCTCTCCACGTGACCGTTATGGTGGTTGGCGCCAGCAGTGCCTTTGCTTTGATCGGGATACTCGGCTACCATACGCGGCAACATCTTGAAGAGCTGACGAAGAATGAAAAGACGGATAGAGGGGATGTAGAGGACTCTGAGGACCAATCGCTCACGGCATCTTCGTCGATTCCAAAACGGACGACCGACGCCGTGGAACTCGCGCCAAATGCAGTCGTTTGACTCGTATTTATTTGGTCACTTGCGTCATCGTGTCTGCGAAATTTGTTGAGCGCCGTGCGGCATGTTTGCGCTTTCGAGACAGTCGAACTCTTCGAAATTCAAGCAACTTTCGGGATGATTGCCGTGTCTATCATTGCAGCCTTCTTTGGCCACAACGTCGTGGCTGCTGCCGGTTGCTTTGCGCTGGTTTTCAACCCGCTCAACAACTTCGAAGCATCCGATGCAGTTCCAAATGGTGCTCACTTCTGACGACACTAGATTTTATACTTAGTTGAAGCCATTGGTTGATCTCTAGACCGAAGCTCCTCTCGAGCAAGACGTTGATTCTCCGATACCTTGGGCTGCTCCCCACTGCTGTTTGGGCAACTGGTGCTGCTTCGGCAATATCGTTCGAGCATGCACTGGCGCTTTCGTGTTAATTTCCATCACTTGAATTGGGGAAGTTCAAGCGGCTCCATGGCTACGACGGGGGCAATGCCGGTCGATTTGACGACGCCCAGGGGGTATCTGAGCTGGTTTAGTCGAGTGCATCATGGAAATGCCCATGTAAGCCACTTTGTAACGTGCACCGACCATCACACATTTGCCGACTCGTGACCACAGCCCTCGAACGACACCAAGTTGTTCGCTTTCGACGGCTGCTGCCATTGCATCGTTGCGTCATGCTTTGCTGAGCATATATTGCTCAAAGCCCTATGGTTCATGCACCAGCCACAGCTGGACGAACTTGGCCAGTTGTCGGGGGGTGTTGGCCCGGCAACCCCCGACACAATGTCGAGGTGGCCATGTTTCGCTGCTAGGCCGATGGCACAGCGTGCTGGTTTGCGCGGTGCGTTTTTACTTTTTGAACTTGTGACGATATTCCATCGTGACCTCCAAGGACTCTTGGAGACATTTCAGACGCGTGAAATTTATTCTTGCGTACACACAATTTCTCTCTATTTGGATTGGCTATTATTCTTTGCATTTATCGTAGAAACAAATCTTGATTGGCTATTCTTCGTTAGTCCACGATTGCTATTGGCTTATTTCGAGTGTTTCCAGCGTGTGATTGGTGAATTTAATTAGGCTTTTGCAGATTCCACAGGATAAAGCTAACGATGGATGTGTCGGGGCAGGTCCAGCACCTGCACGAGATGATCAACCTCGCACATGGGGTGCTCCTGGAAGCACAAAACCTGAACCTGAAGCAGCCACTCCAGTCAAACGCAAGCCTCTTTACCTTCGCCGATATGGATGTCACCCCGAGCTCACCTTCCGTTGGCGACGTGTCCATGCTCGACGAGAAAGACGACGAGCCGACCACGTTGGCGACGTTGACCGGTGACGAAATCCAGGATTCGTTCACGAAGTTGGCGGCACTCAAATCGGCCTACATCAAACACAGTTCTGAACTCCTGGAAAGCCTCCAGCAGAAGAAAGAAGACGTCGCCAACGACAACCTGCTAGCTCGTCGAGATGCCCTACGCAAGGTGAGGTTTCTTTCCTGCATTGTCAACCTTCCTTTCACGAACTCATGAACAGGACGTGTACGAACGCAACGTTGTTCTCAAGGGTCTCATTGATCGACTCCGCAGTCTCCAAGTGTCGCTTCGCATCCTCCACGGCCGTGACGCCGTTGATGCCGCCTCGTCCGTTGCGATGGAGGAGATTTAGCGACGTCATATATATATCCACCGTGGAATAATTCTTGGATTTTATGAAATCCGGAGAATTCTGTAAAATTGTTGGAACATTCGACATGGGGTTTCCGGCGGCCAGAACTTCTCGGCCGTTATCACTCGACGAAGATGGACCTGAATCACAAGTCGAACAGGGAACGGTCATCGTCGGCCAAATGGGCAAGCGATGTGCATCTTGCCGTAGAGTACCTCAAGCGGCAGCATGACGTTGTCGAGTGGTTGGAACATGCCATGGATCGCACGTTTCCAACGCATGACCTCCAGGAGCTGCTCAAGTCGGGCATTGTCCTGCGAGAACTGGTGCGTAGGACACTCTCTGTCGTCTTTGAATATGCATAACCCTTCCGTGGAGATGGCGCACTTTGCACCAACCACCGCCACACCAAAGCCCATTGCACGAACGTACAGTGCTACGATGGCCCCGTGGAAGGAACGAGAAAACATCAGTGTGTTCCTGTCAGATTGCCGTCGGTAAGCGCAAGTTGACATCATCGACATACTTGGAACGCTCGTTGGACAGATTGGGCATGAGCGAATGCTCACTTTTTGGCACGGACGACTTGTACGAAGGCACGAACATGGTGCAGGTCGTGTTTGGGATGCAGTACATTAAGGCATGGTTTTCGGGTGGCGTTCGGTCGCCGCGATCCCCCAAGAATGCCCCCGTGGGCGTTTGGTCGTTTTCTGAGTCGCAGGTACGACGTCGATGGCTCCCTCGTACGCAGCCCATGATCACGCTTGATTCCAGGTGCAAGATGTCTTGGCGCAATTTCAAAAGCACAAGTCCCAGGAGTGCCTGCTCCAAGGTGCGCACGCGAGGACGATGCACCATGCTTACATGCAAATATTTTGCAGGATTCTTGACTCGGCAAGGTAGCAGCAATTGCAACTTGCGTCAACCCGAGCACGCCTCCGCGCATCGTTCCCAAGAAGCGGTAATCTGTACCAACGACCTCAACACGCCGGTCGACCGTGTTCAGGACCCACCACCATCGATTTTCCCCACCGAGGAAACGGAAGCATCGGTCGAGCTTGGTCCTCACTGCCACAAATTTACGTCATGCGAGCCACTCCTGGACACCGCTCCTATCAAAGTACAAGCCAACGACAACGTTCTCGCACAACCGTGCGAATCAGTCATAGCCCCCCCCACGCATCGCGACGGCGACGATGCAATGGGGACGCCTACGGAGCAGTATGTTCTTGCCACAACTCCAATTCTGACAGACCCGGCAAGTGATCAAGTCGCCGTAACTTCATCTGACATCGTCATCGTCCCGGTACGAACACCACAATCGTTGAATGTTATACGTGATTTTCAATCGTTGTAGACGCAAGAGCCAAGCAGCGAGTCAAAGGCTGCTGACGTGACCGCAGCTCCCGAAGTCGACCCGAGTGTGAACCGGCATTACGGATGTTGCTGTCGAGTCATGTGAATCGTGCACCTTGCTAATTGCAGATCAGACTGTCGCCTTGAACTAACCAACATAACACACAAGTCAGTGGAGAAATTGCTGGGCACAACAACCACGTACTCTCGAACATAGCGTGGTCGTTCTGTTTGAACGACAGCATCAAGCTCTTGAACTCGTCGAAGTCAGTACAGCTCATCAGGATGTCCACAACGTCGCCCGCAATATCGTCTACGGTGGTGTCGGAACAATCCTCGATGACGTGGGAACGATGCACCTTCATGGTCCTGAATCATCTGGCACAGTTCGTCCATGGAAAAGTCTTCGATCTCTGCTTGCAAGCGCGCTTCCAGATAGTTTTCGATCAGGAGCGTGTACTCCTTGAACAAGTCCATGTAAATGAGCTTGTTTTCACTGGCGTCGTCAAAGTATTCTGCAAACGACCCGTGGGTGACGAACGAGTCGTTGCAGCACGAGGTGGTATACCGCAATGCTTTTGGCAAAAGTCTGTCTGGAGCTGCACAAAGTCAGGGTCGATTAGAACGTCTTGCAGCACGCCCATGACTTCGTCGAGCTTGTTCTCCTCGGTGCTGCCACCGTGGAAGTCGGTGCTGATGATCTCTTCTTCGCCCAGCTCGTCATCGCCATCATCACACAGCGCAATCTCGGGCTGATTTTCTACAATGTGCAAGAAAGAGTTAGATCCGCAGCAATCACGCGCACATGGCGCGATCTTCCGACCAGACAAGTCCGACATGGCGGCAACTTGGGCGACTGTTCGGCGTGCCGTTTCGGAATGGATGGATCTTTCGTTAAAGTATGCGCCCATTCCATAAAGTACGACAACCTCCAGCGCTCTCCCTAGGTTAAATGATTAAAAAGTATCCAATTATGAGAACTATAAGTTTGGTGAGGAGTTTGAAGATCGTTGAGTCGTTTGAATGCATTATCCATGAAGAATCAAATTCCGTTACCCGTGAGTGGTGAGAAATGCAATGTGGTGAGAGATGATGGCTGTTTGGACTAAAACGTGTTTGCTGTTGGATCCTGCAACCTGATTGGTCGCTGAGGTCATTACTCATTTCACGGCCGAGGCGGCGGCACATTGCTTCGATGCGGCAGAATGGGTTCCAAGTGCCCTTCGACCTCTTCCAAGTGACGGCATGGATCTTCTTCCCGATACTGGTGGGGGGCTTCTATGCATTCTTCGTACCTTTCCTAGCCCACCACGCGGCACTTGCCACAGGGATTGTACGTACAGTCGCAACCTGGGATCACATTTCATGATTCAATTAGATTTACGGCTTCAACGGCGTTGTCATCGTTGGACTCGCGGCGATCACGACGTCCATCAACCCCGCAGACCGCAACGTGCTGCACCATGTGGACCTCCAACCGGCCCAAGTCACGGCAGATCATCTCTACTGCAACGTGTGCACGAGTTACGTGGACAAGAAGTCCCGCCATTGCCGCATATGTGAAAAGTGTGTTGCAACATTCGACCACCACTGCAAATGGCTCAACAACTGCATTGGCGAACACAACTATCGCTTTTTCTTCAGTCTCATCGTCGCCATCTTCACCTTCACAACCTTGCAACTCGCCATGGGCATCTACCTCTTCGTCCAATGCTTCAATGACCCTGCTTCCATCCTCATTCAAGGTCCGCTCCGTTTTCACCTCATGGTCCTTACCACAACCTACAGGCGCTTCCACATATGGGTGCTCGGGCAGTGCGCTTGTCAACCAACGGGGATTCTGTGAGAGGTAGAGTTTCGTCAACGTCCTTCCTTGACCATGTGGCTCCTTGTTCACAGCGCAGTCTTTCCGCTCGTGGCGATCAAGGTCATCCTTGCGATCTATTTGGCGATTCTCGTGCCTTCATTCTATCCCATCGGCCAGCTCGTATACTTCCACATCAAGTTGTGTACGTGTCCACGACAGAGCTTGAAATTTCCTCTGACTCAACGATGTGTAGATTTCCTGCAAACCACTACATACGACTACATCATCCATCAACGCCGCCGTCAATTGCATCCAGAGGTTCGAACGTTCCGCTCATGTCGACGTGAGCCTCAATCCCATGATAGGAAGGCGGTGACGACCACTTTGCGGGGTGCCATGGCTGTCGCACCGCGCCGACGCAACCTGCCCCAATTCCGTCCCCAGTCGTACCAAAGTATCTGCCATCCCTCTCGTGCTTGTCCTTCTTCCTCACTCTGACATCTGCTGCCTAGATTTACATCAACGCCGACGCTGACAGGATTTGGACGCCCGTCTTCGGCGCACGTCCACGTACAAGATGCATCGTCCCATGAAACCAAGAGCCCTGTGAGTCCGTCGCAACGTGAAGAAATGACTTACGAGCCGATCGAGACGCCCAATCATCACGGCAACAAAAAATCACAGCAGCAGAAGGCGTTCTTTGTATAATATAGATATACTCATTCGACCGTGTTGGTTTGCGCCAACGACAAGCGACCGGCGTTGTCGTCCGAGGAGAGGACCACGTGCACCTGAGACACGACTCCCCTCACTTGGGGCTTGAATTGCGCTTGATGGTTCGATTGGGGATGCTCAGCATGCACAGAATACACTGGCGCGATCGCCGTCCACGTCCCCATGTTGTACTCGTGTTCTCCCAACGTCGCACTTTCGTGAGGTCCAATCGCAACGGTCTGTCGGATCATAGCATTGCCTTCCGCGACTTGCCCGTCACTTCCAAAGACTCCGGTCACGTGAAGGGTGTGGTCCGAGTCGTTGCGCACGACGACTTGCTTGGCGTACGACGGGGGGGCGACCATCTGGCTTGCCGTTGAGATCGAAATCGAGAGTGAAGAGTGAAGAGAAAGGGCTTCTTCTTCACGTGACCTTCAATATTCGATACTTCTAATATATTATATTATCGTTGCGCGTAGCTACTAGACGAAGTGACAAAGAAATTTTTCGTATTTGGAAATATGTTCGAGATATTTCGTATTGTTATGCATGTTTTTGCTTTATTGTTATCCGGTAATTATCCGGAGTAATGATGAAAGCTGCCTGTGGTGCTCCATTCACCATGAAGGTTCCAGGTTGGGAAACTGTCCAGCGCGTGCCGCCGGCGTTCATCTCGTTGGCCATTGTGTTACTGTCTCGACAAGTGATTGACCCAGAGAACTCAGGTGGTGCAGCCATGCTTTGTAAGCTCAAGTTTCCACCATCCTCATGCATCGCGATTGTAGTCCATGTGTGGATCGCTCGAGGTCTCTTTGCCATCTCGCAACTGAGCTGCATCGGTGTTTTGGTGTATTTGTACTTCCAAGCTCGCGTACGTAGTTGTTAAGTACTCTAGTCGTGACGACGGAATCTCGGTATCTCAGGAAAACAAAGACCCTGCGACTGTCACCGTCAAAGAGGACATTGGATTTGGCCAAGAAGGCGACAAGACCGAGAAAATTACCATTGGTGAGCATGATCAACGTGCGGCGCTCAAGGATATCCAAAAGGTGCAAAAATTTCCCAGATGTCGTGTATCGCCTGACGCATGCTGACAGGTGACCCTCGGCCTTGTTGTGTCGTCATTCATTCACGTCTACTGGGGTTCGTGAAAATTCCCGTTCTAGTGTCCTCCTGCCTGTCCTCATTGCGTCTTCGCAGGATTTATCCCTCCTTTGGTGATCGGCGTCTACAACGGACCCCAAGCGCTCCTCCAAATGCCTATTGTACGCATTATGAGCCCTCTTCGACGTCGATAGTCTCATCCTGCATACAGGTGCGCGTCTTGTTGCGTGGGGAAAAGGCTTGGGGCAAGCTCCAACGTCCGTGGGCGGAACCCGTTGCTGCCTTCGGAAAGCGCTTCGAGGCATGGAATGACACGATCACGTCCGCCTTCACCGCCGACAACAACCCGAACAAGAAGCCGAAAAAGGAAAAGAAGGAAAAGAAGAAACGCTTTTAAACCATCCAAGGAAATTCCTCGCATGGCTTCACATGTTGTACTCTGAGCTATCTTCAAAATCCCGCGAGATTTTCTTCAAAACGAGCTGTTTTCGTTGGAATGCTAGTTCAAGTGCAACAGAATGTACTGAGGAATTCCTCATGGTGTTGTCCCGAGCAATTTTGAAAGAATTTCATGTTATATATTGATACGTTTCCTGTTTTTGATGTATCTTTCGATAAAGTTGCGCGCGCGACGGCTGAAACGCCTTGTTGGACGGGACATTTTCGAATTTCACGCGGGATGGACACACGAACCGCGCATCTCACTGCCGGTACCGTTCTCCTTTCCGCGGCACTGTGTGTTCTGGGGCTATGCGCTCTTCGTCATGTTAGGAATCCATACATGCACATGCGACAGATGCAAGCGCTGTTTGTGCGCCTCGACGTCGGCTTTGCACTCTACGTGCTTTTGTTCTACACCCGCGTGATCTTCATCGAAGATCCTGTCTTTGAACCAATATCCCAATGTCTGTTCTCAATACTTGAGGGTGTCACGATCTTCACGTTTTTCAACATGATGCTCCTCCTTGTGGGCGGTACCGCGGCCGCCGTTGGCCACATGAAACAAAACAACGACGAAACGAACGACAACTGGCTGTTATCGCCGTGCAAGATAACCCTGGATCGATTCCGAAGTCGAATTATTGTGTTTGTAATTCTGAAGCCAATCTTGGCGGCGGTGGACGGGTGGGCCGTCAACCAACAAGCGCGTAACCCGCTTACCGATTCATATCGCATTGTGCATTCAGCGCTTGCCGTCGTGATGGTGACTCTCACGGTGCTGACGTTTCTCGGAGTTCTTCGAACGTACAAGGAGCTGAAGGCGCATATCTCTGGCTCGTTCAAACTCACGGCCAAGTTCCTCGTGGTGAAGGGCATGCTTCTCCTCTCGACCCTTCAATGGTCCCTCGCCAACGCCATCGTCCGCCATTGGACCACTTCCGAACTCTACATGTACTCGACGATCTGTGTGGCTGAGTCGTTGCTTCTCGCAGTTGTGTACTTCTTCGTCTTTACGGCTCAAGAACCTGATGTTCCCCATCTCGACTCGGACGCCGCGCCATTTCGAGTTGCGTCAGCTTTCGCCGTCTGGGACTTATTCGAGTACCCTGTGGGAAAGGATGTCACGTACGCAGCTGCACTGTGAATTTACCAAGCGCTTCAAGATCGCCGCCGTGCGACCTCGGGGTACCTTTGAACTACTTGCCACCGTAGAGCTCCAAAACCTAAAGTAAAAGCGGTCCGCGAAAAGAAATCAAAAAAACTATCGACTCTATTGCGATCGAGGTTTGATAAAGAAGTTTGTCGCGTGGGGGTACAGCAGCGCGACCACAGAACCAAGCGCTGTGAAGGAAACGGGGGTTGTGCAAGGAAGCGGAGGCACTTGGACACGTCGCGTGGTCGTTCTAGTCAAAGGAGCCCACGTCGGCGCTTTGGGCAGCGTGGCCTGCACTGCGCACCACAACTCGGTGGGCTCGTCTTCCAAAATACGAGTGATGGGCGCGCGAAATCCAGGTCCTGCGGCCGACGTCGTAGCCAGACCAGGAGCGACGTTTCCAGAGCACTCCTGGTACACCATCGACACGTACGTGAGCACCGACTTTTCGTCAACGTTGCCTCGGAGATCTTCAGGGTTGAGCAAGGCGGGGATTTGAAAGTGCTTTTCAAGCAGACCAAAAGCAGTCGCGAGGTTTTCGACAGGCGACGATTGCTCGGTGAAGGCAACGACGTCCGGCAGCAACTCGGCGTTTAGCGCATGGACGAGGTAACAAAACGCGGCGCCATTGCTCCAGTTGTTTGTGAAATTGCTCACGCGAAAGTGAAATGGTTCAAATAGGCGATTGCACCACAGCAGCAGCCCTACCACGAACAACAGGTCGAGCCAAGCAATGCCAGCGAGCAAGCCAAACCCACACACCTTCCTTGCCAGACACACCGTCCACAGCAATATCCCCCACTTGGTAGTGCTTGATAATTGTCCACATCAGGCTACGAAGGAGGCAGTCACGTGCGTCAAGGCGCGGCGGGCACGTACCCGAGAATAAGCTTGTTGTTGCCGTCCAAAATGTCACTTGATCCGATATTCGTCACCATCACATTTCCCTTGGCAAGAAACCCGAACACCATGTTCAGGTTCTCCAGTTTGTGAATGCGGAGCCGCGGTTCCTTTGTGAATTTCTGGCAAAAACGACCACCCATCATCCTTTCATTCCATGCAAACTCAAGTGTACCGATGGAAACGGCGCTTCCGTGAGCGCTTCCAGCAACGCAATCAAGACCAGTCCGTCGCTTAAGTCCGTGTACAAGTCATCAATGCCCTTGCCTGCTGGCAAGAACGAATTGGCCCACTACAGCGACGTCGGCCCACAGACCGACCTGTCACAACAGCAAGGAAGATGCCGTCCTACCCTCGTAAAAGCCTTCTTCTGCACGTCGATCCAGAGCTCGTCGCCCGCCTGGATGTTGCTCGGTCGGCGCTGCATCTGCGGCGCCTGGAAGCTCATGCTGCAACAAAAACACGACCAGCTGGTGCCCAACATCACATCCAATCACGGCCAAGGACCCATCCACAGTACTGGATAAATCCTACGGCGGCTTGCATCCACCGGCACACCGCCGCGGAAGGAACAAGGAAAGCCGAGCACGTCGAAGCGCGGCGCCCTCCACGGAAGTACTAGGAATTAGCTGCATCTAGAGAACTCGTCGCGGCCTCGAGCGATTCCAAGTGAACGTGGCGCTGTCGCTGCAGCAAGACAGCTTGATCTCCAAGGCTGTGGGCTTCCCTCGCCGCCATCTCGAACACGTGCTCGACGTCGAACATGCCTACGCAGCACATGACGCCGATTGCATTATTACTCCACCGCCGAAGTGTACCTGCTTCCACGTGCCGCAGCTGGGCGGTGAATTGCATGTAATCTTTGGTTTTCAGGAGCAGCGGTGCCGCCAAGCGCAAGTGCTACGCCACCCCCGTCAACACCAAGTCGTTTGTTTGCGCTCGTACCGCCAGCACGAGCGCAAACACTGCCGACGCTGCGTCCTGTGCGATCAAGCAATCCAAAACTCGATACGTCGTTCGCGACGGAAACTACAAGACTTGTCGACGAGATCCGATGTGGTCAAGACTTACCGTCTGGCAAAAGAGCGGTAGCAGCCACTGGGCGACCAAAATGTCCATAGGCGTGTTCAGAGCGAGGCAATGGTGGTGCAGGCGAGGGAGCCGCGCTTGTAGCAACGCTTCAAACACGGATCCGTCGACAAGGACTCCAGCTAAATTTGGCTTGTAATACCTACCACGACCCGATCAAGCTCTCGCCGCGATTCATTTCACACGAAAGGGTTGGTCCATTACGCTAGAAACTTGTGCCCGCACAGCGCCACCAACACCCAAAACGCCCGGACTTCCGGTAAGATGGCCAAAAGTCGTGCAGCGATGTAATTCATGCTCTAGTGGCAACCACCTTGTCGACGTGCGCCGCCACGAAGGGTCGACGGTACCTGGCAGTATCTGATGCTGCGGCAGTGCACTGCAAAGGCCAAGAGCACGCGTTCCAGCGCAGCTTGGATCGTGTCCATGGCGGCTTGGTCAGAAAACGTCCGCCTCACGTCAGCAAGAACGAGCTCCTTGTCGACACACCCATCGCTACAAAGGTTTCGGTTGGCGTGTCGCGTTGCAGTGGAGATCTGCCAACCTTTGGGACTCGAGGTCGGTGTAATACGTTGGGGGATGAGCTGCCGCGAGTGCAGAAGCTCCTGGAGTGTCGTGTCAGAGATCGATCAGCATATCTCGGTTCCATCTACCGCTCACGATGAAGTAAATCTGCGCTCGAAACTCGTCAGGAATGCCATGCCACGACAGATCTTGAATTCTCCGTCGAACGTCGTCGTCCAGCGGGCCGTCGTCGGCGCCGATCTCCCCCATCAGCGTCGATCTGAACCGGTGGCCCTACAACCGCCTGCGTGACGTCGGGATGGCAGCAAGCTCGATTCGCACAATCCAAAACCGTACCGCTCGATCTAGGTCGAACGTCGTGGTCCATCTTCGCATGCGGGCAGGTGCCAAACAGTCCGTCTCCAACTGGTGGGCAACGACGTAGCGTTTCGCATGGCCCGATGGAATGTAAAACCCAAAGGGATCTTGTGCTGGCGTAACGGGGATTGGGATGTCGTTCGTGATCACGAGCGCTTCTCCACCATCCATTTCATCCGAGAACGACAAGTTTATCCATTGCACACCCGACTGCAACAGGCTGCACGAAAAGGACGTGACGAGCGACGTCGCCATCGCTGCGTTGTCCACCACAAACACATCGACCGTCATGACGGGAAAGACATCCTGCGCGTCAAACTCAGCCAACGCACTGGACTCTGACGCGATACCAAGACGGGCACGTGGCAGTCAAACTTTGGATGGCGAAAGCTCTGCGCGTCCAGCGCAAACCGCTCTTGCAACGTGCCAAGCTTGCTCCTGAAAGACATGCCCTGCAACATAGTTCCGTCGTCAAGTATCGCTTTTGGTAGAATCGCGCACGGACCGGCGCAACGTTGAGCACGACGTAGTGCCGTTGGGCCGCCGCAAGCGCCGGCAAATGCCGTAACTCGACGACATGGACGTGGTTGAATCCCTCTTGGATCGTGTCGGTGTGCAGCGTACGAACCGAGGCCTTTCCAAACGACGACGACCCATTTGCATTGACCGCTCGAAGGCGCAACGTGTAGTCGGTCTGGGGAACGCAGTGCGGAATGACGCATTGCTACAACGACACCTCAGACGTTCCGCAGATGCTTTGAGTGCTGGCATGGTTGCCGAACCGTAGCCGAAGCATCCAATCGAACGTGAAAGACGTCCCAAGCCCCCAGGAACCCCTTGGCGAATTCCAGCTCAAAGTGCTGTAGTTTGGTCCACCTACCAAACGTTCTCAGCGGATGCCAAGCATGGCGTGTTTACCTCAAATCTAGCGCAGTCGGCGAGGGGTCATGCCTCCATTGCACATGAATGGCGCCCAACTCGGGCAGCTTCCTCTCGACACGTCAACTACGAACGATTGCAGCAGCATCCTTACCGACGTCGCGACGATGTTATGTGGAGGTGGCGGCAAAGCACTCACGTCTGTCAGAAATTGGTGCAAGTCGGCGTGATGCGGCGGCACCTACACAACCTCAGCAACGGTTGAACAGTGTGTGTGCCACGAACAAGATCCTTGGCCATTTGTGCTTGCACGTTGACACGTGTCGGCAAGACGAGCGTGTGAAACACGAGCCACTGGCACAGCTCGACATGGCCGTGCTTGGCAGCGTAGTGGAGGCATGTGCATTGGTTGCTGTCCACCTAGACAAGACACTGTGCCGACGCATGTGGATGCCGTTGTCCATTACTAAGGTCGGATCGACATGGCACTCCCGAATCAAGTACACTGCCGTTTCCAAGTGCCCATGGTACGCTGCAAAGTGCAAGCCACTCTTGCCATCGTGGCTCGTCCGCGTGGGTGTGGTTCCGATCGCCATCAACCTGGAGGCTCTCAAGTTGAGCTCTACGTTTTTGTACAGCGGGCGTACCATTTTAGCACGTCCAGATGGCCATGGCCCGCCGCAAGATGCACGCATGTTATGCCTCGGTCATCTCCCGCCGCCACCGCTTCGGGATACGCCTCGTGTACCTGTGTGCAGCGCCATGGCAATCGAGTCCACTTTCAACATCCAAATCAACGCACTTGCATGCAGATGTCGAGATGGCCGCCAGAGATCGCATCGTGTAGCGGCAGCCGCCCGTGGAGGTTCCGCTCTTGAGCCAACGTCTTGCCACAACTTCGTCGAAGCAGCCATTTGGTCGCGTTTGCTTGTTTGTAACGTGCGGAAAAGTGCAGCATGTTTCGATGGTCCGATGGATATTTCCACGTGAAATCGATCTGCGTTTGCAGCTCCAATAACGTGAGGAACCGACCGTGCTGAATTGCGTTGAACACACGAAAGGCCACGCTAGGTGGCGCTGGTGGTTGACTGGGGCTCTGCTGGACGGCTTGAGGCGACGACGTTGCGCTCCTGTGCATGAAGCGTAGCTGCACGGGTCGCCCCACGGATTGAATCCTGCAACTCCATGTCGTCATGCGAGTCAAGGTGCCGAAGCGAAGGGCGACGTACATGTCTAGTGTCTCCAAGTACGACATGTTGTACACGTCGATCTCGTTGATGTGCGTCAAGATCTGGCCTGAATGGAGCTTGCTGCGGAAACCGCATAACTGGTTGTAGTCACCGTGAGAAGCGCCACGTACGATGAGTCTGCAATGGTGGTTTCGTTGTAGAACGCTGCTGCTCCTGGCATTCCATTCGGAAGGACAGGAAAGTCGTGGATACTGACGGGGTAATGGGGATGTGCGCTGGGAGTGAAGCCAAGGCCTAGGAAGCCAGGCCCAAAATGAACCACGATGGGATGTGGCCTGGACGCCGTAGTCTGCGTCAGAAGCGGGATCGCTTCGAGCATCGTGTCGACGCGCTGCCACAGGTCCTGCATCATGGCGTTAGCTCGGCTAGTCGCCCTGGAGCACCTTGATGTAGGTCTTCGACGCCATGTCCATGCCGATTCTACCAAATTTGGTCCAAGATACGAGTATCCGGATGAAGCTGGATATTCGACAGGGGTTTCGGGGTTGGTCGTTTAGTTGTCTTGGGTGGGGATCCAAACGAATGCCGTCTGGCGGTGAAGATTCACTGGTGTTGGAGCTCATTTGTGATGTGTATTTCGCGAAGCTCTGGGAAGGCACTTGAACATCGTTTCGGCCAACGAACCATCCCTTGCGTGCTCTGAAGCGGTGCTCATTCCATTGCACAACGACCACGGACTTCCACATCAGCCATGATATCTCGCTGCATTGCCAAATACACCCTCGGATCCAATAAGGTTGCGCGACTTTCAGGAGGGTTGACATGATTCATCATTAAATTTGTATGCGACTTCAGGCACAGTTTTCG